TCAGAAAGAATAAGTTCAATTCTTGAATCAGATACATTTCCATGTAGGCAACAAGCAGCCTATCAGAAAGGTTTATGTAGTTTATGTACATCATTTAATTTAAAGGAATGTATAAGATATAAGTTAGAAAATGATGATAATGTGTATGTTGGATTTTTAGATAGCAATAAAGCCTTTGATACGGTATGGCATGCAGGCCTGCTATACAAACTTTATGAAATTGGCTTGAACTCGAAGTATGGAAATTACTGAAAGGAATATATACTGGTGTCAAAAGTTGCATTATTTTTAATGGATTACAATCAAGATGGGTACCCATGGAGAGAGGTATTTTACAAGGGAGCGCATTATCTGCTAAAATGTATTTAGTTTGTATTGATATGTTGCTGAAAATATTGAACAGAGTGGCAAGGGATCAATGATCATCGACATTAGAGTTAATATACCCACTAAAGCTGATGATATTTGCCTCGTAAGCAATAAATATACTGATTTGGAATATATGCTACGGATGTGTGAAGATTATTGTAAAAAAAGGAGATTTTTGTTTTCTAACACCAAAAGTAAGTTTATGTATTTTAATAAGAAAAGAAAGTGAAATGTGCTACTAGTTTTTATTTATATGATAATAGTATACCGGAAGTGGAAGATATTGTTCACGTTGGTATTATGTTAAATAATAAATTCTAAACATATGAACGTACAATGCGTGCTTGTAGCAAATTAAAAAGTAGTACAATGAGTTAAATTAAGAGTGGTGCACATCCTTGTGCGTTAAATCCAGTTACTGCCGGAAAACTGATCAAACAAGTTGTATATACGTCAGCACTATATGGTTGTGAACAATGGATTTTTGAAGAGCGCAAAGATTTATTTTAAAATCAATTCAAGGTTTTAGCAACAGAACACGTACTGATATGTGCTATGGATTGATTGGATGGACATCAATAGAAAGTTATATAAATATAAGAAAAGTGTTGTTTTTTGGAAGGTTGTGTTATTTAGATAAAAATACATTGTCATCACGTATATTTTTAAGAAGACTATAGAAGGCTAATAAATCAAAGTATTTTATAAAGAATTGGAGACCTATTTCTCTATTAAACATTGTATACAAAATTGCTTCTGGATCAATAACAAGTAGATTCAAATTAGTTTTACAAAAAATTATAAACTCTGATCAATCAGGATTTATATCGGGACGCTATGTAGGAGAAAATACTCGCCTGGTTTATGACATTATGCAATATACAGAGGAAAATGATATCCCTGGAATGTTATTAATGGTTGATTTTGAAAAGGCTTTCGATTCTGTCTCTTGGAAATTCATAGACGAAGTACTTAGATATTTTGGATTTGGAAACGATATCAGAAATTGGGTCAAAATTTTACACTGTAATTCAAGCTCTGCTATAAACCAGGGGGGTAATTTATCAGCTTTTTTCAAAATAAATCGTGGTTGTCGTCAAGGAGATCCCATCGCTCCATATATTTTTATACTATGTGCAGAAGTTTTAGCAATCCGCCTTAGAAACAATAAGAGTATAACTGGTATAAAGGTTAATAACTGTCCCATCTTAAACTCTCAGTATGCAGATGACACTTCTCTGGTATTAGATGGTTCTGAAAAATCACTGAAAGGGGCGGTTGATGAACTAAATATTTATGCAAAAATATCTGGTCTTAAAGTAAATGTAGGTAAAACTGAAGTTGTCTGGATAGGCAGTAAAAAATACAGCAATGATGTTCTCCTTCCAAATATGAATCTTAGATGGGGAGTTAATAAATTTACTCTTCTTGGGATAGATTTCCATGTAGATCTTTGCAAAATACCTAAAATGAACTTTGATAAAAAATTAGTTAAACTTAAAGCTCTTATTAAGAGCTGGAGTAGAAGGTTGCTCACACCTATTGGTAGAATTAATGTCATTAAATCTTTATTAATTTCTCAGATGAATCATCTGTTCATTTCCTTACCTAATCCATCTGAAAAATTTATAAAACAGCTCAATTCTGTTCTTTTCAATTTTTTATGGAATAGCAAAACTGATAAGATTAAACGGGACATAATAATCCAAAATTATCAAGAAGGTGGGCTAAAAATGGTTAATTTAATGTCTTTTATTGAAGCTCTGAAAATAAGTTGGATAAGAAGGTTTTTTAGATCAGAAGGTAAATGGGTAAGCATTTTAAAATCTTGTGTAAATCCTCATATCTTGGCTAACTCAGGAAACGAGTACCTTAATAAAGTTCAAGGAAATTGCAAAAATGTGTTTTGGAAAGATGTGTTTAGGGCATGGTATAAATTAAGAGCAAAAGAGGAGCTGTTTAAAAATGAGAATTTTGCCCTACTTAAGACACCCTTATGGTATAACAAAAATATTTCTGTTGGTAATAAAGTTGTTTTTTATAGTAAGTGGTTTAAAAACGGGATTATGATAATTAATGATTTGTTGAAAAACAACACAGACTACTCTTTCTTGTCTTTTAAGGAATTTTGTGATCTACATGGTACAATAACTAATTATCTAGAATATCATGGCTTGATAACAAGCATAAAGAATTATCTGAAACAACTTAATTTGCCAAACAAAAATGTGATATACCCAATTATACCGTTACATCTTGTAATAATTTTAAAGAAGAAAAAAGGTTCTCAAGACTTCTATAATATACTTATCAGAAATAATGCATCAATAACTGCTCAAACAAAATGGGGAACTATATTCGACTATAATCAGGAAACTTGGGGGAAAATATATGCTATTCCTTTCAGGGTTACAAAAAATACAANAAAAAAAGTGAAATGTGCTACTAGTTTTTATTTATATGATAATATTATACCGGAAGTGGAAGATATTGTTCACGTTGGTATTATGTTAAATAATAAATTCCAAACATATGAACGTACAATGCGTGCTTGTAGCAAATTAAAAAGTGGTACAATGAGTTTAATTAAGAGTGGTGCACATCCTTGTGCGTTAAATCCAGTTACTGCCGGAAAACTTATCAAACAAGTTGTATATACGTCAGCACTATATGGTTGTGAACTATGGATTTTATCAAAGAAAGAGTTACTTTTGTTGGAAAGAGCGCAAAGATTTATTTTAAAATCAATTCAAGGTTTTAGCAACAGAACACGTACTGATATGTGCTATGGATTGATTGGATGGACATCCATAGAAAGCTATATAGATATAAGAAAATTGTTGTTTTTTGGAAGGTTGTGTTATTTAGATAAAAATACATTGTCATCACGTATATTTTTAAGAAGACTATACGCATCAATGCTGAACAGATCTGGTGACCATTTTGGACTTTTAAATGATATTTTGAGAATTTTTAAAAAGTACAATCTTTATAATATGTTGAACAAGTATATTCGAACGAGTGTATTCCCATTAAAACGGCAATGGAAAATAATTGTGAACAAATCTGTGTTGTTGAAAGAGGAACATGATTGGAAAGAACGAATGTCAAATGATAGTGATTTTAACAGATTTGTAATGGTTCATAATATATATTGCAACCACATATACTATGGAAACTGGCAATGAAATTCCCGGAGTTTAAAGATTCGATATTATATGTTACGGAATTAATAGTAAATATTCGTACTGGTAAAGCCAACGAGCTATGTCATAGATGTGGTATTATTTACCAAGATATATTAACTCATATCATATTAAAGTGCAGCTATACTGAACACCTAAACGACAAGTTGTGGTGTTCTATCGCAAACATTAGTGATACTGGTATTCTGCTGAGTGCGTACACATACACTCTCTGACAGATCACGAATTAATTCAAATTTTAATTGGGGGACAAATGACTTACGAATTAAATGTATTAGACATGAATGAATTTAGATTGAAATCAGTAGCAGCTGTCGAAAAGATGCACAAGTTATACTACCGGTAGTGTGTAGATATAATCTCACGTCCTGATAAAGATTAATATAAATAAAATAAATATAAAAAATAATATGAATGTTTCATATGATATGTATGTATTACCTCATCATATATACACTTATTAATGATATTTATTGAATGTATGACTTCAATGTAATTAAGTCTGTATATGTCATGTATGTTATTTGGTGCTTTTGTGTATTCAATATGATTTTCTTTTGTAATGTAAATATGTGCGCATTATTCTGTTTAAATGTAATCTTCAAATTGGAGGAAATAAAGAGAATAATAATGCCAAATTAAGTCCGTGGCTCCTGACTAACAACTTTATGTGGGCTGGAGGAACATATGTTTGACCAACATATGTAATTTACAGGTACGTTTATAACTAAAAACAAGTAACACACATATATATACGTCTCTATTTATACATATTATACAATGTCGTGCATACCGTGTACTACATAGACATATTGCTCAGTTACGGGAAACATATCCCTATACAGCTACACATTACATGTAACCACGGAATTATATTATCTAAGTCCTTAATAACTTATACTTGTGAACCCTTCAAAATGTCCAATAGTACGAATAAATCCCCTAAATTTCTGTATCTCTGGAAAAAAAATATCTCTTGATCTGCGTTAGTAACTACACAAAATTATCTCGATATTTGACAAAAAATGACAAAGATAATGGGACAATGTACGAATTAAATACCTTTATAAATTCTACTTCTAATTCGTTGAAATACCATTACACCAGGTTAATGCAGTCGATAGAAGTGACACTATGGGAGGGGAATTCCCAAGATCAATGTTTGTCACTCAAGCGTGCGTGCTATTTTCATATGGGGTCCTTTCGTTTATGTGGTCCGATCTATACCTTTCTTTATACTATTATGACAGTTTTTGCACTTAAGACTGACAGACCTTCAAAAGCATGATGAAAATATTAATCACTAAGACTCGCTTAATTTCTGTGTCAAAAAACTTGGTCTGTCGAAATCTGATACCATAATATGTTGATCAAATCAGTCTAAAGCAATAAAAGAAAGCAACCCCATTACCAACAAAATACAAAATGGCCTCCAAGCGAGCGCGGCATGATGCTACTGATGAAGAAGGTGAACAAAATGTGCATCGTAAACGAGATTCAGACACATGTCAATGTGATATTGGTAAGGACACAGTATTTATAGATATTCCTACAAAGATCATCAATGGAATAAACTTTGCGCTTGACGCTCTTATTAAGGAAGATTGCTTTTTACCTTCCATTACCTTGACACCACTCAAAATTTTAATGTGCAACGGGGCGGATAAACATGAAGGATTTCCGTTTTCCAAGGCATATTGCAGCACGGACATGTATGACACGGACTATGCATTTGGAACTGTATTCAGAAAGGGTATAAACATGCTGATTGACATGTTTCAACGACGTACCCCGGGAAATCGGCAGCACAGATTCGTTTTGAGCAGACTGTTGCATTACTTGAGTGACATGGTGAATAACGGTAGGTTATAGGCCTATATTACGCAATGTGTGTTGTGATATATTTCTGAAACATCTCTATACATCATTTTCAACTGTTCATCAACACTAAGCTTGCTAAATTATGTATGCGAGTACCACATCATGGCACATGATGGCGATTCTTTTGCTCCACTTAACAGGTCCAGTACTAGTACGCTCTGCCGATTGAGCTATATATAGCTGTAAAGACCTATAATAGCTCTATTAACCTATCTGAAATGGGTCTTTTGAGCTATTTTCAAGTGATTTTCTTTTTTAAGGAAAACGAAACAAAGTCGCTTTTAAAAGAAGATTGTATCATTAGGTTGATAACAAAAGACATTAAATATAAGGATTCTTTTTATAAAATAATGATGTAAAAAAATCGGAAATTTTACATTTATGAAAAATGAAAATAAACATCTAACTGTATGCTTTTTGTAGTCAACATTACCATAAACCTTATTGTTTCATGCGACTTTGCTTTAATTAAATGAAAATTGAAATCTGAGAAAATATAGCTCAAAACAGCTATAATGTATAGGTGTATATAGCTATATAGGTCTTTATATCTATATAGCTCAATCGGCAGAGTGTACTGGACCTGCTTAATACAGAGTTATGGATCTTTTTTCTCTGCTCGAAATAGAACTCAACTGTAGTGGTTTTATTTTGCTATCTGTGATTGTGATAGATAATATGATTTGTGTTTTCATTAAGTGTCATTATGGTCCACCGATTAACAGCTCTACTGAGCTATAATCGTTTCTTTGTTTAAAGAGCAATGATAATTAAAGATTCCTGTATCTAGGTCATGTACAGGAATTATACATGTATATAAATCTATATACTAGTTCACGTAGATTTCTTAAAAAAATGTACTCTTCTCGGAATGACAGAGTGTTGCATATTAAAATTGGGATTCATGCCCGACTATATCCAGAGTTATATCCAGAGTTATGGCCCTTGGTCAACTACCAATACCAAATTTTGTATGCAAGTATCTTTTGGGATGGTGGATAGCNTAGGGGAATCTCAACCCGAGGGGGAAGATTCTTATGTTGCCAAACACGAGGCTTTGCCGAGTGTTTGGCAACTTAAGAATCTTTCCCCGAGGGTTGAGATTCCCCTATCTTACCCACAAGGGGGTGAATGATTCTTTTTCTCTTACATGTACCCTGTTTTCCCCAATGTGTATCATATACACAATGTAATGATAACGTTACATGCTAAATTCAGGGTTGACGTGACGTTGATTGATTGTTGACGTGACGACATTGTATTGTTGCAGTGACGTCATACCATTGTTATAAATAGGGGAATCCCCCCGTCTCAACCCTAGGGCGGGGACAGATAAATCTAGCACCGGCAAAACGGGAGATAAATCTGTCAGGTGTGGGAGAAATATTTATCAATTATGGACTTTTGTTGATGTGAATATGTGGTTATATGAACCTGAGAAAGTAAAATTGACCGAGACCAGGTCGATGTTGATATAACTTTTTCAGGTTCATATAACCACACAATCACCTCAACAAAAGTCCTTAATTGTTATATTAGATGCGTAAGAATGTTTCAATCATTGAACAAAATACACATATAACGTATGAAAATTGTCATGAGGAAAATGCTCCATTTGACAGAGGCATTGTGACTTTTACAATTGAAATAACATCATAAACTGAATATTTACCTTATAATATAAGCTTCTGTTTCTAAAAATAGTAAAACAGGGTCAATATCACAAAAGATTGACCTCAGTGTCCATACACTTATGATATTTTAAAGCAAAAAAAAAATAATTCTTTAAATAAGGCTGTATACATTTGCAGATGCTAACATTTGTCATGTGATGTTTTTCAAACGACTTCCACTGATCAGAATTTGACTGGATACATCTCTAGGTGGTTGGGATTCAAAATTGTACAAATGCTGGGGCTAAACCCCCAGGGGCTGAGAGGTGGGCCAAAAGGGGCAATTTGGCTATATTGCTATAAATGAGTTCTTCTTTAGAATTATGCACTGGATATCAATCATATTTGGATGGAAGCATTCATGGGAGGTGGGGATTCAAAATTGTACAAATGGCTGACCTCCCAAATGGGCTGGGCCAAAAAGGGTTATTTGGTTATATTAATGGTTTAAGCGACTTCTTCTCTGGAACTCAACTATGGATATCGACCATATTTGACTGGTAGCATCCTCAGGTAGTGGGGATTCAAAACTGTACAAATGGCGTGGCTGACCCCTCAGGGCGCTGAGGGGCGAGGCCAAAAAGGATAATTTGGCTATACTGCTTTAAGCAACTTTTTCTCTGGAACTGAGTGATAGATATCAACCATATTTGACTGGTAGCATTCATAGGTGGTAGGGATTCAAAACTGTACATATGATGGGGCTGACCCCCCAGGGGCTGAGGGCGGGGCCAAAAAGATGAATTTGGGTATATATTGCTTTCAGTAAGTTCTACTCTGGAAATAAGAGATATATATATAAACCAGTATCAGCAATATTTGGTCTGTAGTGTCCCTATAGCTAGGTGGTGGGGATTAAAAATTGTACAAATGGTGGGTGCTGAGGGGCGGGGCCAAACAGTGTTATTTGGCTCGATATATATATGGCTTTAGGCAACATTACTCTGGAACTAAGTAATTGATATCAACAATATTTGGTTGGTTTGGTTTGGTTTAATATTGTTTAAAATACAATATTTGATACAGCGCCCTATCTAGCTAACATAAGCCACTCTAAAGCGCTTTACATTACAAAGATATACAATTTGTACAATTAGCAGTTACATTATAATCAAAACAATTTTGAGGAATTCGCAGGAGCTGCCTTATCAGGCACTTACGACTAGTCCTATGCCACCTGGCTAATATCTCCCCATGTGTGTATGCCTGTGTGTGTGCTGGAGATGTGATGTGTTCTGTTTGTAGGGTGATCGTGCTTCCAACGGCATCATTTATAGTTGAATGCTACAACACAGCAATCGCATCATCCACCCCAGACCAATTTATGCTCCACCTGGTTTGTTGGGATTGTGTGGGCAGGAGAAAAGCACCGACGTGGAAGGCCAGAGTGTTAACCACTCGACCAATCAGCCATTGTTTAACGTCTTATGAACAGCTAAGGTCATTTTAAGATGTGCCACCATATGTGTTGACTTGTGTATGTATACATGCATGTGTGTATGTGAGCTGGGGGCAGGGAAGTATCCCTAGGTGATGGGGATTCAAATTTTACTTTTGGTTGGGCTGAGGGGTGGGGCCAAAAAGATTTTTTTTGCTTTAAGGGACTTCTTCTCTGAAACTAAGCGATTGCTGGGCAGAAAGAGATGAATGCAGTCATAATATAAGAATTGACCCATTAGGTCTGCCCCATCCCTGCAGACTTAAACCCTGAGTCATAACTTTGAAACGGTTGAGATCCCCACCCAAAACTTAATGCCCCCTCCCCACTTTGGTAAATGTCCTGGAAACAGGGTGGGTGCCTGCAATTAAGCCCCCTCCCGAATTTTGTCTCCATGTATGTCAATTTTTGTCTCCGACATAAGCAAATTAGCTAAATGGATGCAAAACAACATAAACCCAAGTTTAAATACTACAAATGACTTTGTTTCTGAATTAGGCACCATAGTCAATGGCATGTAGTGACATGATAAGTATATTATGTAGTTGTGCACCAGCATTTTAATTTCAGATTTCAACAACTTTTAAGGGAGTTACGGCCCTTTATGCGAAATAAATTGTCTGGAAAACTCCATTTAAACTAAGAGGCAGATTAAATTGAAACTTCACTTGAATGATCAGTATATTATGTAGCTGTGCACTGGTGGGGGTATTAGTTATCCTCTGGATGACAGTTCTAGGTATTATTGATCAGTTCGGACATTTCCATTTCAGACTTGGAGTCATTGGAAGCTGATAACCTGACATCTTTAAAGGAGACACAGCTGTCTTCTGTACTAGTAAATCATCTTTTTGGGAAGTTGTCAGCCTCCTCATCATTTGTAATCGACAAGCAATGCAAAGGAAAAGAAGAATGTCGGAAAAATAACAAAGAAAATGTCCCATGTCCGTGTGGAGGTGAAGGGTGTCAACTTTCTGGATATTATGGAGACACAAGTATAGGTATGATATGAATATTTTTATCCCCTGCAGAAGTGAAAAAAGCAATGAGTGATTTGAGTGTTTGTCTAGTTTTCTCGGACAAGCCATACAGTTGTTCAAATTTGTGTACTATATCTGGGCTAGACTTTGCCTTTAGGTCAATTACTCTTATACTAGATATCTCTCAGTCACCAAACTTCCTTGATATATACATCTTGAGGAGTATTAACCCTTTCACCCCTATGTTACTTTAATCAACTCTACCATGCATTGCTCTGGATAAGTCCATCATGGTCTACAGTGGTGAAAGGGTTAAACACAAGACATAGTGATCTACATTTCACTCTTCATTGTGTTTGGTTTAAAAACGTATAATCCCATTTTTTGAGTTATTGTTCCCCGTACCTATCATAAAATTGTAATTATGTTAACTCGAAATAGTTTTATCTCATGGCATTATCTTCAATAAAGCATATCAGGCAGTACTTTAATGAAAACACAACGAAAATGAACTTAACAAAGAAGACATCAATAAAAAAATTCTGGCCAGACCGGGTTTCAAACCCTGGATCTCTGAAAAACACTTAGGGTATTTATATATATAATTAGCAGACACTGTGCACCCTTCTGCCTGCTCATCTGTCTTTAACAGTTGTTTAAAAGTTTTACTTTAGATAAGTTTGGGCATGGAACTTCCACTAACATAGGCAACAGTTTAGTTTGGGTGATGATTTGATAAGGCCATCACTGAAAAAGGTTTGTTTTTTAGCTCGACCATGGTGAGCTTATGCCATACCGCAGTGTCCTTCCGTCGTCCTTTTCCTTTAACTCATTCACCCCTGAACTTTCATAATGAACTATTCCAACCATTGAATTGGAAGAGTTCAAATGTGTCTTCAGGGGTGAATGAGTTAAAATGCTACTAGTCCTGAACGGCCAATTGCAAGAAGATTTTGACCAAATTTTGTCTGGAGCATCCTTAGGCCAAGAGGACTCAATTTTGTATAAACGGTGGGTGTGGCACCCTTGGGGCAGAGGGGTGGGGCCCAATAGGGGAAATAGAGGTAAAACCTTTAAAATCCTTCTACCGTAGGGATTAAGGGATTTTATCCTAATTTAGTCTGGAGCATCCTTGGGCCAAAGGGACTCAATTTTGTATAAATGGTGGTTCTGGCCCCCCAGGGGGCTGAGGGGAGGGGCCCAATAGGGTAAACATAGCAAATTCTTTCAAAATCCTTCTTCTTCTGTAGGAAAAATTTAAAAAAGAAAAAAAAAAAATGAATTTGGCTTGGGACTACATTTTTGGCCATTTACGAATCTGTGTCTACACTACAAAAGCTAGCTTTTCATGTAGTCTATTTTTGCACTCAGCACGTGTAAATATTGTGAAAAATCCAATTTGACGATCTGGCAAAACGTGAGTATTTCTGTGACAGAGTAGGTGATATTTAATTTAAGACAGGTTTAAAAAAAAATTACTACTTGCGTGGATCAAATTTTGGGTTAAAAATCATGTTTTTTTTGCATTTTTTGGCGGTTTTTGATACATGTGGTAACCATGGTTTTCACAAGTCCCAAATCTGGGGAAATCTCTTTTTGAAAAAAAAAATCATTCTTCTAAAATAACCTTATTCAAAATGTAGTGTATAAATATAGATATATATGTAGGTGTGTTGTGCAGGATGAATCCGCTATCCATATTTATCCGAGACATGCCCTTTATTTTTAGGGTCAAGCCATTTCTACTGTACTCTGGTACCATAGGAATGAAAGGATTCGTTGTATATTTGGTCTGAAGCATCCTTGGGTGAAGGGGAACCAATTTGGTATATACCGTGGGTCTGGCCCCCAGGGGCCTGATGGGCAGGGCCCAATAGGGGAGACATAGCAAATTCTTTAAAATCCTTCTTATTCTGTAGGAATGAAAGGATTTGGTCCATATTTAATGTGGAGCATCCTTGGGTAAAGAGGGACTTATTTTGTATAAGCGGTGGGTCTGGCCACCCGGGGGGCTGAGGGCCGGGGCCCAATAGGGGAAATATAGCAAATTCTTTAATATTCTTTTTCTTCTGTAGGGATGAAAGATTGGTCTGAAGCAACCTTGGGTGAAGGGAACCAATTTTGTATAAACTGTGGGTCTGGCCCCCCAGGGGCCTGAGGGGTGGGGCCCAATAGGGGAAACATAGCAAATTATTCTTTAAAAACCTTCTTCTTCTGTAGGAATGAAAAGATTTGGTCCATATTTGGTGTGGAGCATCCTTGGGTAAAGAGGAACCAATTTTGTATAATCGGTGTGTCTAACCCCCCTGGAGGCAGAGAGGCAGGGCCCAATAGGGGAAATAGAAGTAAAACTTTGATAATCCTTCTTCTACCATAGGCTTTAAGGGATTTTGTCCTAATTTAGTCTGGAGCATCCTTGGGCAAAAGGGACTCAATTTCATATAAACAGCGAGTGTGGCCCCCCCTGGGGCAGAAGGGAGGGTACCAATAGGGGAAACATAGGAAATTCTTCAAATACCTTCTTCTTCTGTACGAATGACAGGATTTTGCCCAAATTTGGTATGAAGCATCCTTGGGTGAAGGGGAACCGATTTTGTATAAACGGTGTGTCTAACCCCTCTGGAGGCAGAGAGGCGGGGGCCCAATAGGGGAAATAGAGGTAAAACTTTTAAAATCCTTCTTCTACCATAGGGATTCAGGGATTTTATCCTAATTTAATCTCGAGCATCCTTGGGCCAAGGGGACTCAATTTTGTATAAGCAGTGAGTGTGGTCTTCCAGAGGGCAGAAGGTGGGGCCTAATAGGAGAAATAGAGGTAAAACCTTTAAAATCCTTCTTCAACCATCAGGATTACAGGATTTTATCCTTATTTAGTCTGGAGCATCCTTGGGCCAAGGGGTCTCAATTTTGTATAATTGGTGGGTATGACGTCGACCCTCCTAGGGGCATAGGGGTGGTGCTCTGTTTGAAGTTTGTTCTCGCTATATCTCACGTACTGGTTGGAGCTTTCTGAAAATTCATATGTTCTTACAGCACCTACCATGGAGTGCTATATCTTTACTTCATACCAATTATTTTAAACATATTCAGGTGAGGGATACATGCCCTCTGGGCCTCTTGTAGTGAGTTGGATGGGAAACTGCAAAGCCTCTTGTAAGATATTTAAGATTTCTAACCCATGAGTTGACATTGTTCTGTCTTACCTCCGATGTGGGAAAAGATAATATTAGTCCTCTATTATGTTATGGTAACATATACCGTAGTTTGATTTTTGTTCCGTTCAAAAGGTAATGAATTGGTTTGGCATGGGAGAGTGGACACCCTTGTTAATAATGAAGTGATTGTGGACACAATAGTAGATGATGACGATTCAAGTCGTAGTCCTGGAGAAAACTCATCTGTGGAAGAGAAAATGAGATCTTGGTCCTTGATAAGGAGTCACCAAATAATTGCAGAAACCATTGTCTTCTCGTTTCTTAAAAAACAAAGGAACCGAGAAAAGGATGCATTCCTTTTTCCTTGTGTTGCAGTTTCAGATCAGGACATGGTAATTTATTTCTATGATTCGTTTCATGATATTCTTTTAGAAAGTTCAAAAATTCCTTTGCATGGTGTTTTAACGGGCCCTGTAACTGGATCAGTGAACTTGATTGCTGTGTTGGTTTCCTGGCTTGTGGTTAACCATAAGTACCTGTGTGATGGTGTTGTAGAAGAAATGAAAACCACAAGAGCTGGATTTTTCTCACAGGCAGGATCAAAACTCAGAATTTATGAAAAATACATAAAACTTGGAGATGTTGGAAATGCATCTCGGGTGTCGCACGATGCCACGGAAAATGTATTTAGGAAACGACATATAGATCCTGAAATGATAGAGCGAAAGCAATTGATTAGAACAAAGGATAACTAGTTATTTGTTATTGAGGCACACACATTTACATACTGTTTCCAGACGAATTGTGAAACCAGTCATTTAGATTGGTGTGTTAATGACTACATGATTAAAAATAATCGGAAAAATTATGCCTTTGCATTTTCTTTTACAGGTATTATTCATATATGAAACATTATAAGGTATATTTACTGTACCAAACACAGGTGACTGTAAGTCGCTTGTGTTAATATTTATTTTTACAATTGTTTTTCCTATTACATAATCCTGCTAGAAAAAATTAACGACTGTGTTTCGTTTGTGTCTGCATTATTCTTATTTTGAGGTGATTTAATTGGCTGTTGTCAGTATCTTAGTTATTTTACACAAAACCTTTACTTTTGCAAAATAGAAGTGATTGAATGAAGCAACTTTATTTTTTGCTGACACCAAGACGAACTTTAGATTGGTGTTACTTAAGTATTTACTTAAATTGCCCAAAGGTTTAATGACTAATGAAGCTATTCTTCTGTTGCTGTGTCCATTTGTCAATACTGCTGTCTGTCGTCAAACTTCCTGTTTATTCCGTATATACTTTATGCAGGAAGATTGGAGAAATCGAGAAAGAGGTGAAAGGTCAATGGATTGTCATGATTGTCTGCACCATTGCATTTTATTATATGTATTCCAAAAAAAGGATCAAGAAATTAGTGGTTAAATTATTGTAGTGTGTATAAGGATTGATGCTATCATTGATTCAATGTTGATAAGGTAGTCAGTGTTGTAAACTTTTAAACTCGAAATTGAGTTTAAAGTTGGCTTAAGTTAAATTTCGACAATACATCGTAAATGCATTTCACTATTTTCAAGTCACCTGAGTCACACAGTGACCTATAATTGTGATTACCTTTCCCTCAGGTAGCTGTGGGGCGGAGACATCAGGGGTCATAGAGTACGAAGCTTTCAAATGATTTCTCCATTGAAACTTATCAGTGGTTTTTCAACGACAGTTCACACTGTGATCCTTAGATGATGAGGATCAGAATCTCTGTTCTAAAAGTAGTCGACCCCATCTTCGATATTGAATTCAAAGTATAGTTTTTTTCATGATTCACAAAGAAATCTAACATAAAATTATGAAGAATATCATATTGCTGAAAACATATTTTCTTTGCTGTGTTAGAGTACAGTAACATATTCTTTGAAAAAAATCATTGAATTGTACGTTTTGCAACCAATCCTTACGCAAGATAAATCTATATGCATTTCCTTCTTTACTCGAGAAAATGAACGACTCTTAAGCAAAGGAAACTGCATCCTCGATTCTACAGGAGTTACGCTCACTTACATTCTCTGCACCCCTGGAATATGACATAGAAAAAATGAAGGCACGCGACAAGCTATTTGATTGGTATCAGTTAAAAGAAACCTAACTAATCGCTAGGCAGATTCCTGTTGCTTTGAAGATTACAAAGGAGTGAGAACCGACTTCAATGCCTGTCTATTGTACCGTTACCAGACCGCGATATTCTGTTGATTTACATCAACGGATCAACCCAATCTCCTTATCTCATCCACAAGTTGGCGCACACTGAGCCTTCGGGACGTAGGGAGGGTTACTACATGTACCCCTGGAGTATCGAGGTTGAAGAAAATGAGGAGATACTGTTACATCCATCCTAGATACTCCAGGAGTAGCTGCCTCTTGAATATTTTCGATCAAGGTTAAGTTGTATTTCTCGCAACATATTAAGTTAAGGATGTACACCTCTGAGAAGTCAAAAAATTCCTGTATTAAACTTTTTTTCTTATATTAATTTTTGGAAAAAGGAGATAACGGCATAGTAGAAAATGCAAAAAATATAATATGTCCGTGTGTTCGTTTTTGTGCTATGATCGGTCAAAGATACCAATTGAACACAATAGGTGATTTTAGGTGAATTTTCGGGTTTTGACCATTTGCAAGNGATTCATATTTTCTATGGGAGCAATTAAAAGATTTGTGTATGGATGGCTAGGTAATTGCCTTTCGTTGACATAATCATACACCGATTTTTTTTGTGGATTGAAATCTAATACCCAAAATATAGACCATCATTGATTTTTGCATCAATACAAGTATGTCTCTGTCTCTGCCTGCCTGCCTGTCTGCATGTATGCATTATTATCAATCTTTATCAAATGATCTGATGATAACAATAACTGTGCACGTTTCAAATGTCAAACAGGACTCTTACTTTTTAATTCATTGCCACTTCGAATGTTTTCCTTGACTTTCAATATTCATACAAAGACAAGAAAAATAAAAACGTGATTACTGTTAGCAAGACTTTATTTTCTGGATCAATGACTAATATAAAACAGTTGAAAATGATGCTTCTTAAATCAAAAGTTTCTTAAATCATTATTACATCAAGAAATACATGTAATATTTTCCTGTATTTTTATTTTGTTGCGTTTATCGTCGATATCTGCTTTTTCAGGGAGGCACATTTTAACCTTCAAGGTATTAATTAATTGTCCAAATCTTCCTTTCTTTCCGGAGATTACTAAATATCGCCTATTTCACTTCTAAATGGACTTAGCATGACGATTTTATTTTGTCAAAATAAAAAAGTGAATAATGATCATGAAGTAAGCATCATAATAATTTTAGAATGGTCCAATACTTTCTTTCTTTTCCATTGTTAAGATATATAGTATACTTATTGTTTACCTTTTGAATTAGTTATGATTGAAATTTGATTGGTTCCTTGATTGTTCATTGTGATATAATTCTTTTTCGTGTTTTCCCTCCCTCTATGACGTGACCGGGTTCAGGTTACAGAGCATATGGAGTTCATCATACGAATCGTTTTCATCGGTTGTTTTGTGACAGAGCATACCATGCCCATCGAGTGATTTTCCGTCACATCGCAGTCCGAGTGTCGCTTGTATATACATGTAGTCATCTGACATTTGGAAACAGGAAAGCGTTGATCCTTCTGGAAAAGTCCCTTCATCTGCTGCTGTGAAACATTGCAGGTTTAGTTCTGATGGGTGACAGGACACTTTGAATGCATCCAACATGCCATAGCTTTCTGTAAATGAACATATATAAAGGTCAATACATAACTTGTAAAATAACCTGGTAATTAAATATTTTTTGTGCAACTACAATATAAATGTCAACAATCGTTTATGTCTTCACTAAACGTGCGTTAAAAATAAAAGGTTACTTTGTTATTTTTGCTTTCGCTTGGCTTGTCATTGCCAAATGTTATATGTATCTTCTTACAATTTTTGCTAGGTGAAAAAAGTTTATATTGGCAACATACCAAATGATTATATTAGTGCTCTTTTTGCAATATGGATATAATGCATGCATATTCATAGGTGACCTAAACTTATATTTTCATTCCACTGGCTAGCATATCTATCTGATTCAGATTTATTTATTGATTAGATTTTGTTCAAACTAGAATGATTACGGTTTGGCTAATTATGTTCTCATCATCTTGGTTGAACTAAAAAGAAACAACATTTGGTAGCAGTGCTCCGACATCTTTAATTTCAAATCTGAAATATTCTATTCTGGTCTTTTGATTCTGTTTCGAATAAACAAATCAGTCAAACTATTATGATATGACGGGCGATAGCAGATTGCATAAACAATACAAAATATTAATGACTGGAAATTGTCACGTCACAATCATTTTAAAACTTGTTATGTTCACGACAAATTCGCCTTAATTACGAACGGCAAAATACGAAAGTTAAACAGTGACAATAATTTCCCAGCCTATGGTATTACCTTTTTTTCTCAAAAATGATTTTTTTTTTTTTATTGATTTGTATATGTATTTAAAGCAGTTTTCCCCCCATTAAATATGATTTAGTTTCAACTAGTATATTGTCTGTAAGATTAATTGTGTTTCGCGTGAATTTGTTCCCTTCCATCGTGGTGAATTTACCAAAATCCTTATTTGGCAGACGTTGTTACCTCGATGTTTTGTCAGTCTAGATTTAGATACAATGCCATTTAGATTTTATTGATGAGAAAGATTACTATCAATATACCAAATTACCAACGTTACTGTTTGTTTAACACCGATAAACTATGTAAATTAAGCATTCATTCAACAGCCCTAGATTTAATATCCGATTCAATTGACAAACAAACGCTTTTGCAGCAGGTGTATTCCTTTTTACATTATAATGATTTAACTACATAATGTAGTTTGTAATGTGCTCCTTTATTCAACTATTTTGTTTTCTTTTTAGTAATAGTTTGAACTTACCAGGGTTGTAAAGACCACCATTTTCCGATGCCTCCCTTTTAATTCCTGTTTTCCATTTGCGCATTGCTTCATCAAAACCTAAACAAAACAGCAAACAACTGTAACATTGATCTGAATGTAACAGAATATTATGTATAAATCATCATATACTTATCTCGATACATATATAAATATATATACATGTTTCACAAGGTACTAGTACATATATGGATAAACTCCATCCCACCAGAATATTCATTGTTTTCTCATTTAATGTATTTGTCCATGTTTTTTTCTTAGAGACCTCAATATTACAAACAAATTACATTTAGCCTCGTGTTATTTCATTTTTCTCATACAAACAAAGTACTAACAAGAGTTTTTCTTCCCTTTCCAAAAAACCCCCCCCCCCCCCCATTTACGTAGGTCCTCGTTAAGCAATCATTATGAATCAATCACATTTTTTTTATTTTTTACTAGAAAATAAGGCGAGCCACACAAAATATCTATCTCCGTATTATTACTTTTTCTGATCTTAACTGAACGTTAAAAGGACGATCAAATGTAACTTGATGTACCTTTATTTTGCAGTCGACTCCAAGTACAGTCATCAAAAAGATTTTGTTTATAAAAATCAACCTCCTTCATTTAAGCTATAAAGTCTTTTGTATTTCATGTTACGTTATTAAGGTACTATACCGGTGTTTATATGTTAATATATGTATTGCATATGTTAACCGGTTGCAAACAGTAGTATGAAACTTTTTTCATGTTGTCTTGAGCTGACTTTTCATAGCTTTAAATTTGCTGATAAAATATTTTCATGTCACAGTTATGTTTCAAATGAGCCCTTGTATTGAGTTTAGTCAAAAGGATTGTTTT